AGAGCTAATGGCTAACGCCGATTAGCGATCCTCCAATTGCCAACATTGAGAGTCGTTGGCGCTCCTCATTCCTCACCCTTAAGGGTGTTTGTTTATGTATAGTGCTTTTTCATCTCCTCTTCTCAACGATGAATATGTTTTTTTCCTTTCCACCTTAGCTGTAGCCGCACCTTTCTTTTACCATTGCAACCTTTTCTTCTGTTAGCCCATTATTTTTGTGTCTCCATCGCGCCGTCTTCATTGTGGATTGTCTCCTCACTGGCCTTTATCTCTCTCATGTTGTGCTATCCTGCCATTGTTGTTCTCTTGCACAGCCGCTGCCTATCCTTCTTGAGCTTTTTGTTCTCATAAGCTCCCCTTTTTTGTCCACGTCTTTGTCTCATAAGCTTTTTGAACTTTTCCTTACCCTCTTGGTTTCTCTCTTTCTCTTGAAATCTCTGTCCCCTTCTTTGTCTCCCTCGCGCCGTCTCTCTCGCCGAGCTGTCTCTCTTCCCTCCGCGAGCCTTGTCAATGCTTGCCGAGCCTTATCCTAGTATGCAATTGTGGTTTCTCTCTCTCATGTATTTCTGATGGTTTCTCTCTCTCATTTATTTCTGATGGTTTTTCTATTGTGGTTTCCATACTTTCTCCTTGTTTGTTGATGCTGCCTGTCATCGCTCACTGAGCCATCTCTCTTTCCTCCGTGAGCCTCGTCAACGCTCGCCGAGCCTTCTCTGTCGTGCTACACTGCCGGTGTTCCCTTTGCACAGCCCCTGTTTCTTCCTCTGTGTTGCCGACTTGGTATCGGCCACTCAAGCCTTATCACTGTGTTGCTGCCTTGGTATCGGCCTTTCACGCTCTATCTATGCTCAACCTGTGTTTCTCCTCCCCTCTTATGCCCAATCTCTTTCTTTGATTTTACTTTTGGTCTTTGTCTTCTTCAATGCTCTCTTGCGTTGCCTTTCTTCTTCTCTGTTACAAGGGTACTGTCTTCTTTTCTTTATAATTCTTTTATGTTATTGGGGTATTCTCTTCTCTTCTTTTCAATTGTGTTGTCTCTCTCCTTGTCATGGGTTGTCTCTGGCCTCTTGAATTTCCTTTCCTTTTCATGGGTTGTCTCTTGCATCTTGTTCTCTCTCCCTCTCTTGACTACTTTCTCCTTTTGATGAGTGTTACCTTTTCTCCTCTCTTTCTTTCTCTCCATTTTCCATCTTTATTTTGAAAGGATTTTAACTTTGTTTTTTGCCCACACTCTCTTTTCCTCTCTGTCTCACTTGGTTTCGTCCTTTATTTCTTATTATTGTTTTTTGGGTCAATCATCCCTCTTTATTTTAATCTATATGGGCCTCTATCTTCTTGTGATAATCTTTTCTTTATTACTTCTTTGTTCCCCCGTGGTTTTCTTCCCCATACCTTATTGTTTCTATGATGCTTTGAAATTCAAACTTGCCTATGCTCTCGTTTTCTGTCCCAAGTTGGTTTCACCTCCTATCCTCTACTGTTGTGCTGCATCCTCTCTTAACCCCTTTATTCCCTTCAAATATTCCTTCTTTTCTCTCTGCATGCATCCCTTTCTGCTTTCCATGTGATGAATTTTCTTTTGTTTCCATTCCTCATCTTTATTATATTCCTTCTTTTCAAGTCTTATTTCCTAACTTGTCACCTCTCCGGCGTCAAGTTTGCAGGGGAGTGTTAGGGGGTTACGGGAGTGACCATAGTTAAGGGTCTTCAATGACAATACATTAGTGTTTTAGCTGTTATGTTGTTATTAGCCTTTATTAGGATATAATGGGTTTTCCGTTTCATTGTAACAACTAGGAGATATCTTAATAGTTTGTGTATAAATATTGGTTGTAATGAGATTTGCATAGATTAATGGCTTTTGATTTGGCTGATTTTATCAAGTTTTGTGTCTATTAGCCAACTATCACTTCAATCTCACCTCTTTTGTGGACAAAGTTTAGGATGAAACTCAGTTATTTTTTTCGTTTTCATTAATAACCAAAAAATGGAAAGTTGGGGACCTTGATTATATTATTATCTTTTCCTTTCTTCATTCCTAAGCCAAACATGGGGAAACTATCTGCTTCATATAGCCCAAATGTTGTTGCTCACCTATTATGAGATTTGTCATGATTAAAGGTGGAAGGGGAAACGACAGGAAGCAGTGTATTTCCTGTCCTTCTGGGGATATTAATCAGAAATCAATGTATGCCAAAAGAAAAGTAAGAATACTTGTGAGTTGTGATAAAGATGCACAATTGACATTTGTGATAGAATGAATTGGCAGGAACCATGCATTGTTTTCTCTCCTCACTGGAGTCTACGGCTCGGTCCTGCTGTTCATTTGCTCCAGCGTTGGTCTGGGGATCAAAACTCTCTACTCATTCTTGAGGTGCTACTATATACTTTCACTGGCTGTTGAACTTCACATGTGTCACAAATAGTTCAAGGAAGTTCTCAGAAAAAAAATAATAAATAAAAGTTTAAGAAAGCATCTTTACCTTGTGTCTGGATGGAAACTATATATGCTTAAATTGTTACTGCTTGATTTGCAGAGTGGACCGGATGTTGATCTGGCTCTCTTGCCTTTCAAGCCTATGGAAATGAAGGTTCTTGAATGCTCATTTCTCTCTGGCATAAGGTAGGGTTTGTCTTCTTTTCTTGAAACTGACACAACATTTTGATTTATTCATATTATTGTAATGTGGCAATCTTAACAACAACCAAATACCATAATAAGCACCAACCCATGTGGATTACACTCCACAGAACGTTTGAAAGTATAAATGCAAACCATAGGGATCAACCTCATGAAATTGTGAAATGATGGATGATTGGAGTGGAGGAAACCACTGGTTTTAGTGAACGTTTGCTGGGCGTATAGAGTTCTCTGACATGCTATGCTAATATCGTAAATGTATCGGCAGCCTTTGGGCTCCAAATGTGAGTAACGTGTGAAGTTGTGGCACTGACAGCTGTTTGCATGTTTGAAAATGAGTATTATTTTTCCAGTCGGAAGGCATATCAGTTATATTGTTTTGTTTTCATTTTAGAAGGGCTTTTGTTTACAAGTTATCTGCTTTGTAACTACTAACTTGTCTTGACACTTAGCAGGCAACTTTCTACCCAAAAAAGAACACAAATTTCAACCAAAAAACAAGATTTAGCATTCTTAATATGTTAACTCCCCTTATCACTCTGTTGAACAACTCCTTCTTTGAAATGTTAAGCAACTTCTGAATTCATCTTAACTTCTTCTATCGGGATATTTGCTTTTTGTAGGTTGCAGAATGTTGAACCTTTGCTGAAGATATTGCAACCAAAAGTTGTTCTGGTAGTTCCATTTTGTTCTCTTTGTATAATCAAATTTTTTTTTTCCTTGTTTATATATTAGATTTCATCTCTTTAATAAGTCCCCTGTTATTTTCTGCTCAAAATAGCTACCTAAAGATTTGAAGCAGATTAGCTCTTTGAAATCAAATTCATGCTCGACCTTTCAGTACTGCGTTAATGAAACGTTACATATACCAAGCTTGAAGAACAATTCAGAACTAGAGATTGCAACAGACTTAGCTTCCCAGTTTAATTGGAGGAACTTGAAACAAGAAAATATTAATATGACGAGGTTAAAGGGAGAGCTCTGCGTAGATCATGGCAGACAACGGTTGTCCACTGGCAATCAAGAGTCCCCAGAGAGTAGACCGCTGGTACACCGGGGTTCACCTGATTTGGAGAAGCTTTTGGTTGTGTTATCAAACAAGGGCATCAAGGCAACGCTTGGGGATGCATTTGGTTCTGAATCAGAAAGTGCTTCTCTAGTACATGTCCATGATCCCAACCAAGCTCTTATAGAAGTCAGAACAACAAGCACTGTTATTAGTACTGCTGATGAAAGTTTGGCTTCCATTATTTTTGAAGCTATAGGTAGTGTTCTAGATGGTGTTTAGATGAAGAGAATTTCACTTGTTTCATGCAATTCTTATCGGCCATGTTTGGTGACTAGGATTGGACTGGCTACATGCATAGTTTACTGTATGTACTATGAGATATTGCTACTTTTCTTTGCAAAGGCAACAGTGAAGGCGGCCAGAAGGATTTCTACCTTACTACCTCTCTTTCCTTTAGCAACTGGACAAAGGATTAGCTTCCATGTCTTTCCTTTTTTCCAAAAATGTTTCTAATGCTTCCCGACAACAATTGGTCCAATTTTTGCAAATACAACATAAAGTTACTCTGGAAAGGCATCTTGGAATAAATAATATCCTGAAGTGGAAGGACTCCTTTAATACCTCGGATTTCCTGGACTGCTCAGAGGAAATTCTCTTCTTGGAAAGGTAACTTACTGCAGCTCCTATTGCAAATAGGGCCCCTATTTCCATCCTTTCCCCAGATTTCCTCTAATATTGCTGGTAATTTGTCTTAATAATTTGTCTCGGTAATTTTTCTGGAGAAAGGATGGACATAGGGCCCCTCCTATTGCTTGGAAGGAAATCTGTTAACCTTGCAGCTCTTGCAAAATTGGGTTGGAATGTTCTTAATTGCCTCAAAAATGGTGAGTTCAACTTGTATGAAAAATTTATTAGTTTCATCACTCCTTTTTTGCTGCTCCTGGAAAGCAATTTCGGAGGCTAGAGATCTACTTTGTAATGGTAATGAACCGTTGGTAATGGTGAGCTTATCTTTTCCTGGACTCGTATTTGAGTCCTTTTTCCTCTATTCCATTCCTTGATGTCTCTCAGCAGAGTAATATTGATTGGGACCTAAAGGTTTGTAATTTATTCAAGATGGTCGTTGGAATGGGGAAGATCTTAGAAAAGCTGTGCTTTATCTTTTGGTCAAAAGAATATTGACTATTCAATTTCTGTCTAAGCAATTCCAGCAATATTTCGTTGTTGTGTTGTAAGTTGGATTGCTTAGACAGAGATTCGATTCAACTTGCTGGAATGAAAGCTCAATGTCCTTGTGAAAGCTCAATTTGATATTCGACTCAAGCCTTGTGAGTTAATATCAAGTATAAACCAAGTAACACCATCAGTTGTGAATTTACATACTTCAATCATGAAGACAAGACTTGGTCTTGTCGGGAAATTTTGGAAAAAGCCAAAGGAGAGAGAAATATTTTGAAAAAAAGCCAAAATGGACAAAAATGCCCTTACTTATTTTTGGATTTTCTAAGAAATCTTTTATATTTGCATGTCTTTTGTTTGAAAGTTGAGAAGTTTTTCTATTTTTTTTGGATAAGTTTTGGTTTTTTCCAAAAGTGAAAGTCTTTTTGTGACTAAAACTTAAATTTACTTTCTTATTTCCATACCTCTAATATAGTCTCACTGGAAAGTAGCATGGGTTGAATTGTTTGGTGCAGATGAGTTTCTAAGATCTACAAAATATAAACTTTAAATCACATAAAAACATAAACTAGTAACTGACTCAATTGATTCATAAAATTGCATTTCTTGAATGGTTGACTCATACTCTTAAGTATATCTTTTGCAATAAGTGACAACTCTAGATATTTAACTCCATGCAATTTCCACTACTTCAAAATATCAAAGTTTGGAACCATTTTTTCAAAAAGATTGGTTCGGCATCACTTGATTGAGATTATTTTACCTAATTTTCCACCAATTGCATTCTTAGTGGTACTAGTATTAATAGCTTCACTAGTAGAGCACTAGATTCATGAGTGGGTGGTGGTTGTGGGATATCGTACTCTTCATAGAGTTTCATTATAAAACTTTCACATCATTCTTCTTTTTACTAGCATCTTTCAATCTTTCATACCAACTCTTCAAGACAAAATCTAAGTTGTCCAACTTGAGTCAAGGATCAAGCACAAGTGCTACTAACAAAAGTTGGTTCACTTTATCCATGTTATCCCAATACTTCTCAGATTTTTTCTTCATGCTTTATGTCATATCATTCAATACCCTGGCTTGGAAGTATGGGTTTCAATTTCCATCATATAATCTCTCATGACCAAATCCTCAATTTCACCTTTCATTGCAATCAAGTCATGAAAGGTGTGTTGGAAGCCGAATGTAAAGAAAGACTCATCTTCAATGTGGCTCATAAAACACCTTTATAAAGTTGACAAAAATAAGAGCATTGCTCCAATCTTCATCATTTTGTTAGACCTAGCAAACAAGTCATATTTGCCATGTTCGTGTCAACATGCTTTTTTTAATTAGTTGACGTGAAATAACCCTTTAAATCAATGGGTGGAAAATAACCGACAGAAACACAACTCGTTACAATTCGAGAATGACACGACGCGAAAAAAAAACACACTCACACACACAAGCGCATGCAACCACACCCCCCAACCTCTCTCCCTCCCTCCCTCCCCACCCACCCACATGGGCGGCGCTATGCCCAATTTCCAGTTTTCAACTTTGTTATGGTAGGACATTCTTTGTGCTCCCAATGTTTGTGGGGGCTAGGTAAGCGCTGATGGTGAGAAGAAGATGAGTGTTGGATTTTGGGGATGGAGCTGGATGGTTTCATTTTTAACATATTTTATTTTAAGTTTTTCATTGATTAAGTTGTATTAAAATTATAAAAATACCCCTCTTAATGAATGCCAGCTAACGTTAGTTTAACCAATGGCTATCGAGTCCACCTGTTTTCAATATGACCCATTAAGCCCGATCCGAGTAATATTTCGTGCAAATTTGTTTTGTGTCCGGGTTTATTCTACTAAATTAAAGAAAGAGACGTATCACGTAATGTATAAATAACACATTGTTTTTTTAACTAAAAACTGAACAGTTGTAAATGGTTTCTTGGCTTAATTTTACCTGCCTTACTCTTTTCTCCTTCATCTCTTAACAAATTTCTTATATTAAATATAGAACCACTGCCCAGCTTCTGGCAAACTAAGCTTCAAGTTGAATAGTTAGTTACTTTGTTGATCAAGTTTCTTATATAACGGGAATACTTCACTTGTTCCCTTTAGACAAAGTAGGATGAACCATACAGACAAATATTAGAATAAGCTGGACCAACCAGCTAGCTAGTTTCGACTGCAAAGTTTGATTCTTTTTGGTGCATAGTCGTATAGTCATACAGTGCTTTGCTACAAACAGGTACAAGGAAACTAATACCTGCTCGAGTGACATGGTGAACCATACAAAATAGGGTCAGGATCCGGAAACCCCATCAAAGAAGTTTCATAATCGACAAGTAATTGATCCATGGAGGCAGCTGCTGGGTTCTAAGTGCCAATTGGTGCAAAGAGTTCATTCAGAGCCCAATTGACTTGTCCATTGAAAATTCAATTGGCAAACAATTGGTTCAAGTTTTCAAATACACAAATTCCGGATTAATGGGCTCTAATCCAAAAAACCCATTAATTCCCCAAATCCTAAATCAAAGCCTAAGTTGTACAAAACCACACAAATCTTCATCATCAAAAACTCATATTTGAACTATGTTGGTTTGATTTCGCCTAGGGTACGTAGGTAGTCTAACATCCCACTAGATGCAACCACAACCAAATTTGAATCCCTAGTTTATCCTAATACCAAATCTCTATTCAAACATCCACCACTAGAAATCTCAAATAAATCCCAATGAACTGATGTTCATCATAAAGGATTGTAATTAAGAGATATCACTATCTTGAATGGGTTGAACTAAATTAATAAAAGCCTTTATTTCCTTCAACAACTAGTCTTAGAGCAAAACAAAAATTAGAAACATAGAATAAATGAAAATTAACTAAGCCACTTTCATAGGGATCTCAATTGCATTTAGCGTATGAAACAAGCCGTTAAACTTCTAGGTTGCCCTAGTGGATGAGTTATAGTCTTGTGGGTTTACAGTGATGATATCCACAAACATCGAAATGCGAAGTTAAATTATCAAACTTAAAAATTATTTCAAATGCCCAACCATCATAAAAAAGAATAACAAAGCAAGAAAAATCTGAATTTCAACTCATGGCAATTTTTAAAAGAGCAAACACATTTTGAAAACCAATCCCAACTTAAAGTCGAAGACACTTATAACCATTTAGTAAAATTTTCATTTTTTTCCTTTGGTGTAATGTGGACCAACACACTAACCCCATTATTTCAATTATTGTCAAATTTCATTGCAAATAACAAACCAAGGCATATATATATATATATATATATATATTAATAACTTGGTGACCATGCAATGTTCAGTTTCGTCCCTATAAAATTTTAAAAAAAAAAGGCTTTCTAATTAACCCGTGTAATGAGTTTTAGGCCAACGACTCTCAAATATTTTCCTCAATGTTTCAAAATTAAATCCTAAAACATCTAAAATTTCTAAATCCTACCACAAAATTAAACAAAACATTGTCCTAAATATTTCAACATTTAAAGTATGACGAATGCGAGAAATTAGATAGGGTAAGAGCATCCACAATGGACTACC